TGGCACGTCTCAGATCAAGCACATTAACAGGAACAGTTTTTCTTCTTTTATACATTTTGCTGTTAAGCCTCATCCCCCACATTCCCCCTCTAGCCCTCCCTTCCCCCCCCCATTCCTCCCTCTACCCCTCCCGTCCCTGGTAACAGTTACTAAGCAAATAACGATTACATTTAAGCAGTTAAGTCATTCTTGGCAACTATAAGCCTAGCTTGTTAGTAACTTCTTTAAACCGTTATCTTGTCCTTTTTCCCTTCAGCCAGAAACATGCAGGCCTCATTATTACCGCTTGATACCGGTGTGAGCAGGGGGTTGCACACAGATAACTGGTTATTTACATATTCCAATTGCACCTGGCTTTTGAGGTCGATTAGAGTTTAAACATGGAAGAAGTTTGGTTCACTTAGGCCTAGTGCAGGAAGGCTTCTTTGGCACTTGGGATTTTCCACCCTCCCGAGTTACCTAGGGTGCTGCCTAGTAACGTCAACATCACCGCAGGGCCGAGGACCCCGGTCGTGCCCAGGACCCCCTTGTGCTCGGCGCTGCCCAGACGCAGAACAAACAGACAGAACCTGTCCCCGGAGCCCGGGTCCCTCACCCCCAGCTCTGGGGGGGGCCCTGCCCCCAGGAGCTCTCAGCTCAGCCCAGCCAGCGGCTTGGAGCGGCCTCCCCGGCGCCCCGCGGGCCGTAGTGTTGTCAGGGCTTCCTGGGGGTAGCTGGGCCTATGTCCCATGGGGAACCCACTTGCTACCCGGGCACCCCAGCTCAGCCTGGACACCCTGCCAGGGCCCTCCTGGGACCCCCACGCGCCCATCGCCTTTGTGTATGTAGCTGTGTCTGACCCCTGCACCCAGGCCTGGCTCCTACAGCCCCGGGGGCCCGCTGGGCAGCCCCTCCCTGAAGGGTTTATAGAACAGCACAGGCCAGCGCCGGCTCCCTGCGGATCCTGGACCCCAGAGATCCCACAGCGTCCCAAGTGTCCAACATGCCCCCAACATCCCAGAGGGAGGAGAATCCCACCCCCCACCCCGATC